GTCGAGACCCACAACCTCCCCCCTCCTCCGAGTATGCTCTAGCGGACAGCTTAGACAGTGTACGGACAGAAAATTCTCGTTCGACAGACGCCCGCATATCCAACCTAATGGTCAGGGTTATTCGGTAGTTCCCAAACCCAACCCATAAGTGGGGCGGATTTGGGGTCGTACAAACACCTCTCAGACACGACACTCACAACCCACCCCAAATACTCCAAAATCGCCCCACCCCTCATCCCAACATGTTCTCTTCCTCTAATGTTATGTTTCGCATCCGTGTTGTGCCCTTCCCTTCCTACCCTCACCCAGACCTCCAGCGTCATCCCTTGTTCAGCCCCCACCCAGAGCTTCGACACCGTCTCTCATCCTCCCCCTCCAATTGGATACCATAGCCACCCCAGACACCACCCCGGTACATCCTAGTCCGACCGCCATGTCTTCGGGGAAATGTTTGAACTATTTTTGAGCTTTTTTTCATATTTGTAGGGACACGGTGGATTAACACAATGGTAAGATTTGACATTGTCGTAGTGAAGGTGTTTGGACTGGAGTACTTGAGAGAACCAAATCCCAATGATACATAAAAGCTTTTGGCAAATTGGAGTAGCAAGTGGCTTTCCCGGTATGCTCGGTATAGTCAATTGCATGCATTGTTGATGGAAAATATGCTCCATGGGTTTGCCCGGGCAATACCAAGTTCACGCCAAAGGGCCCGCCAATATACTTGGTGTTGGAAAACGTTGCATGGAAAACAAAAAAATTATACGCACGCGCAAGATCTATCCACGGAGATGCATAGCTACGAGAGGGGGAGAGCATTTACATACCCTTGTAGATCGCTAAGCGGAAGCGTTTATCACGCGGTTGATGTAGTCGTACCCTTCGTGATCCGATCACGATCCAACCGATCTAGTGCCAAATGGACGGCACCTCCAAGTTTGGCACACGTGCGGCTCGATGACGTCTCCTCCTTCTTGATACAGCAAGCGGGAGAGGAGAAGTAGATGGGATCACAACCAACATGACGGTGTGGTGGTGATGGTGGTGGTGGAGCACCGACAGCGCTTCACTAAGCGTCGCCGGGACGAGGCGGTCGAACTATGGAGTGATGGGAGAGAGAGGAGCGCCAAGGGCTTGGTGTGTCCTCTTGGGACACCCCCTCCCCTTTATATATAGGCGGAGGGGCATGAGAAACAACCCCTCCAAGCCCTAGGGCGCAGCTAAGGGGGAGAGGATTTGGACTCCAAGTCCAATCCTATTCCTACTAGGACTCCTTCCCTTTTTGCCTTCCCTAGCCACATGGGCTTTTGAGGACTTGGTGCACCTAGCCCAATAAGGTCGGGGCGCCTCCCCGCAGCCCATTCTAGCCCTTGGGTCATGGTGGACCCACTTGTGGACTTCTGAACCCCTCCGGAATCCTCCGGAACCTTCTGGAAGCTTCCCGGTACAATACTGAAAAAACTGCACCTTTTTCCAGAACCCAAAATATGACTTCCCATATATAAATCTTTACCTCTCAAACATTCGAAGACTCCTCGTGACGTCCAGGATCTCATCCGGGACTCCGGACAACATTTGGTTACCACTCATCAAATATCCCAATATTATTCTAGCGTCAACCAACGTTAAGCATGCGACCCTACGGGTTCGGGAATTATGTAGTCATGACCGAGACACCTCTCCGGTTAATAACCAATAGCGGGACTTGGATGCCCATATTGATTCCTACATATTCCACGAAGATCTTTTATCGGTTGAACCTTTATGACAACATACATAATTCCATTTGTCTATCGGTATGTTACTTGCCCGAGATTCGATCGTCGGTATCTCCATACCTAGTTCAATCTCGTTACTGGCAAGTCTCTTTACTCATTCTGTAATACATCATCTCGTAACTAACTCCTTAGTCAATTTGCTTGCAAGCTTCTTGTGATGTTGTATTACCGAGAGGGCCCAGAGATACCTCTCCGATACACGGAGTGACAAATCCCAATCTTGATACATGCCAACTCAACAAACACCTTCGGAGATACCTATAGAGCATCTATATGATCACCCAGTTACGATGTGATGTTTGATAGGACATAAGGTATTCCTACGGTATCCGAGAGTTGCATGATCTCATGGTCGAAGGAATATGTATTTGACATTGAGAAAGCAGCGGCAATAAATTGAACGACCATATGCTAAGCTAACAAATGGGTCTTGTCCATCACATCATTCTCCTAATGATGTGATCCCGTTATCAAATGACAACTCATGTCTATGGTTAGGAAACCTTAACCATCTTTGATCAACGAGCTAGTCTAGTAGAGCCTCACCAGGGACACGGTATTTGTTTATGTATCCACACATGTATTTAAGTTTCCGGTCAATACAATTCTAGCATGAATAATAAACCTTTATCGTGGTTAAGGAAATATAATAAGAACCATTTTATATTGCCTCTAGGGCATATTTCCATCAGTCTCCCACTTGCACTAGAGTCAATAATCTAGTTCACATCATCATGTGATTAACACCCATAGTTCACATCGCCATGTGACTAACACCCAAAGATTTTACTAGAGTCAATAATCTAGTTCAAATCGCCATGTGATTAACACCCAAAGAGTTTAGTAGAGTGTGATCATGTTTTGCGTGTGAGAGAGGTTTTAGCCAATGGGTCTGCAACATTCAGATCCCTGTGTACTTTGTAAATGTCTATGTCTACAATGCTCCGTGTAGAGGTACTCTAGCTAATTGTTCCCACGTTCAATGTGTATCCAAATTGAGACTCAGAGTCATCTGGATCAGTGTTAGAGCTTGCATTGACGTAACCCTTTATGACAAACCCTTTATCACCTTCATAACCGAGAAACATTTCCTTAGTCCTTTTTAGGTACCTAAGGATAATTTTGACCGTTGTCCAGTGATCCACTCCTGGATCACTATTGTACCCCCTTGCCAAACTCATGGCAAGGCACACAACAGGTCTGGTACACAGCATGGCATACTTTATAGAACCTATGGCTGAGGCATAGGGAATGACTTTCATTCTCTCTCTATCTTCTACCGCGGTCGGGCTTCGAGTCTTACTCAACTTCACACCTTGCAACACAGGCAAGAACCCTTTCTTTGACTGGTCCATTTTGAACTTCTTCAAAACTTTGCCAAGGTATGTGCTTTGTGAAAGTCCTATTAAGCGTCTCAATCTATCCCTATAGATCTTGTTGCCCAATATATAAGTAACTTCACCGAGGTCTTTCATTGGAAAATTCTTATTCAAGTATCCTTTTATGCTATCTAGAAATTCTATATCATTTCCAATCAATGATATGTCATTCGCATATAATATTAGAAAAGCTACAGAGCTCCCACTCACTTTCTCGTAAATACTTTACCATAAGTCTGTATAAAACCATATGCTTTGATCACCTCATCAAAAGTGTATATTCCAACTCGGAGATGCTTGCACCAGTCCATAGATGGATTGCTGGAGCTTGCACACTTTGTTAGCACCCTTAGGATCGACAAAACCTTCTGGTTGCATCATATATACAACTCTTCCTTAATAAATCCATTAAGTGCAGTTTTGATGTCCATTTGCCAAATTTCATAATCATAAAATGTGTCAATTGCTAACATGATTCGGACAGACTTAAGCATCGCTACGGGTGAGAAAGTCTCATCATAGTCAACCCCTTGAACTTATCGAAAACTTTTCGCGACAAGTCGATCTTTGTAGATAGTGATATTACCATCAGCGTTCGTCTTCCTCTTGAAGATCCATTTATTTTTAATGGCCTACCGA